GAAAGTTGTCACCACTAACTTTGCTTGCTCGGCGCGTGCGGCGAGCAAGCAAGCGCCCCTAGGCTCACTTCCAGGCGGCGCAGTCTGTACCGCGAGCCACGCGCTCTTCTGTTCGCATTTCATTTTTTCCCGATAGTACATCTACCATACAAGTTGTTTCGACGTTAAAAATACAAGGACTGTTCTTTAACCAATGCATGTGTTTGAACGAACACGTAGAACATGTTATGTCTAAATTTGTAAAAATAACACGTATTACTTATAAAGATCGTTTTTGTTTACCAGAAAAGGGTCAAATTATTTTATATAACTCATTGTTTGCTTCCCGTTTAAAGTACTGCCAACTTGTATGGGGCAATACGACAAAATTAGACCTAGACAGATTATACATCGCACAAAAAAAAAAAGATCTTACGTTTAGTAGCTAATGTACGATATAATAGTCACGCCGATATTTTACGCTCAAAATTTAAGGTAACGTCTGTTTTTGACTTATATACACAGACATTAATCCAGAAATATATAAAGATGAAATTTATTATAATAACAAATCATTTCTTCTCTTAGCTTCGCTAGATAAAAACTCTTTGTTTTATCATGCGCGTAGTCCAGAGCACTGGAGAGTGCCGTACCCCAGAAGCAATTACGGATTTCAAATGCTCCAGTATAGTGTACCACCTACCATCAATGAACTCACTAAAAACAATATTCACATAGAAAATATGTAAAATACAAAAATTAGAGAATTGCATTTTAACAACAAATAATATTTTAAAAGTTCTGTGCTGTTCATCATATCAAAAGCGGTATAATGTTCTGTATGCATTTTTCTTGTTTGTTTGCAAGTGCCGACTAATCTGCCCAAGTCTGTATGGGAGGCAGGGACCTGTCAAGCTAAGCAATGTAGCTTTTTTCCCCGTCTCCTTCTCCAAACTGGAGTTAATAAAGGTGAATTGAATTGAACTGAATTGAATCTTATTCGATTGGCGTGCGGTAGATAAGTGTTTTAGTGCATCATTTTTGTATTTGTGGTTTTCCCCGCGGACAATGATTTATATTCTTGGTTTGATGTTTCTAATTGAAACCATATGTCTATTTTCACTAATTAAAAGTCACTTAGTCATTTTTAATTAATTAGATAATTGATCAGTAAGTATTGAGCATTTTCTAACGTCCGCTACCACGAGTAACGCGGTCCCGCGAAAATTATCCTTTTACCTGCAATACACTCATTGCAAAAAAGTTTGTCATCCTTACGTAAAAAAAAAAGTTGTTTGTATGTTTATACAGCTTTGATGCTAGTACGCCTCAACGGGTGACCTTCTCTTAGCAGTAGATGAGAAATTTACCTAGTTCAGTACAACCGTTAACCTAAGTTTTTTAACGTGCATCACGTAGTAACGATTACACGAACGTGTGCCAGTACAAAGCTCATCCAGATCGAAACGGACGGGGAGTGGGGGTCAAACCCAGGACGTTCTGCAGCGCAAGCTTTCACTCGACGCTCCGCGCGCTTTAGCCCACTGATTGCACGCTAACCACAAACTTAGGTGTACCATCCATCCGTTCGCGAATACCTCAGGCACATCTATGTTTGTTCCAGAAAAAATACGTTTGCGTCGCCACGCTGTGGTGCGCCTGGCCATGGAGGAACTCCCACTGCGCATGTTTCGTGAACAGACATGTTCACGTTACCGGAGAAGAGTAACTAACTATCATTACTCGTTGTTATTGGCTAAAAATGTGTATTAACCGTTACTGAGATTAAAAGGTATCGCGGTACCTAGCTTAGGAAATGGGTATTTCTCTTTATTCTGAAATGTGTTTTTTTCCTGAAGCAGTATTCGCCATACAATGTTTGATGTTGTTAATAAGGCCTAGCTTTTTAAATGCCTTCGAGTGCTTAAAAGCATGCGAGATTGGTCGCCGTGTTTGTTAACGCTCGGAGTACGTGGAGCGGAAGATTGCGCTGCAGATTCCAGGGATCCTAGGCTTAATAAACCCCACCCTGCCTCTTTCGCGCTGGATAAGCATCGTACCCACGTGCATCACTAGTGCGCGATGCACGGTAAAGAGGATAGAAGTCGTACCGCACTGGCTAAATTTCTCATCTAGAGCGGATATACTCTGCAGATGTTCATTGGGGCTGACTAACTTCCCGATGTGGAAAGAAACAGAATACACTTAGATTTTTATACTGAATTCCTACTCGTGCGATACGTTCATTGGTGATTACTAGAGATGAGCAAAGTTGTGGTGGTAAGCGTATAAAGACACGACACAAAAAAAAAAAAAATGTAGGCAGTCACTATGATGTGCTAGGTGACTGATAACAAAATAATCTCTTTGTTTTAGCGCAGCAAGGGTTTTCGATTGAACGCTCTTCCTTAGACACAGCTGAGGCATCAGGGTGGTTTTCACGGATGCAATGAAGTCATGCCTGACGTACTCTCAATGTTTTCTTTCTGTTGTGTTGCTTTGTAAAGAAATAGAAAGGGTCCTTTTCTGGTGAGATCGCATTCAATTTGAATTCTGCAAAGCTTCTTTCGAAGGGAACTGATTAGAAAAAATAAAAGCATCTCACTGAGCTTGTAGAGGCCCCCTTTTCTTGTCCGCGTTTTACCTGAGTGGAGCGATAAACGTTGCCGATTCCTGGCACCAAGTACAATGAGAATTAGAAACGACCTAACTGAAGATAAAGATTGAATCTGTAAGGCTTAGGGATAGCGTAGAGAATCATAAACAAGAAGCTTCGTATATTTTATTGTCCCCAGATTCTTGGGTTAAACTGTTGTACCTTGCATGTTCCAGCTAATTTTGACCACCTTCAAGTGCAGAATTCTCTAACTGAAGAGAAGCTAGACAGGGGTGGATACAAAAAGAGATGGAAGAGCGTGTCCGAAGGGGTTAGCCGAATAAAGCTCGTTGTGTTTCTTTCTTGGTGGCTCATCCGGAAGGAGGGAACCTATCACTCATAAAGGGTTGAGTAGATATGTGCAGCGAAAAGTGTGACTATACTATAATACTGTGAGCACATTTCTCTTGTTGTCTATCTGACACTTTTACCCGTCTCAGACAAGAGCCAGGGCAGAAACGGCGTGGACCTTGTAACCTGTATCAAAAGTGTGTATGACATTCAAAAAGTAGTTCCGGAATGGTTACTTTTATTTAGTAGTCTCATAGATATCAAAGAATTTTGACTTAACAAATGACACTGAACTAAGCCGTGAACTTTGAATAAGTGGTTTATGTTAATTGTTTATCTTTCCATATAATAAAAAAAAGGAAAAAGATCGGTGGCCGAGTGGGCTAGCGCACACCAGCTCGGAGCATGTGGAGCGAAAGCTCGCGCTGTTGACCCCAGAAGTCCTGGGCTCAATCCCCACCCCTGCCCGTTTCGATTTGGATGAGCACTACCGGCGTGCGGTCGTGTATCGCTACTGCGTGGTGCACGTTAAAGACCCCAGGCCAGCGGTTGTACTGCACTGGCTAAATTGCTCATCTACAGCTAAGCCACCAGACGCCCATTGAGGCTGGCTACCTTCGGGCTGTATAAGCATACACGCAACATTATTATTATTATTATTATTGGTGCTTTGCGAAATCAGCGAGCTCGTATTTTGAAACGATGCCTAAGAAGTCTATTGAACCTAAGGAAGTGTCTGATCACATTGTTTGATCACTTCCAAGTGATTTCGAACTCACGGAATTCGTGATGGCACGAAAGCAACTCACTGCATTTTTCACCAACACCTAAGCTAGTTTCTTCAGTCTAGTGATCTGCACGAGTGACGTGTTTAGGAAGAAGTGATGAACCTGTTTGAAGGCCATGTCGTCATATAATAACGCGACTTTCATGACTCTCATCGGGCAAAAAACGGTTTTGACGTTCCTTAAGAGTCAGTATAAGATGTGAAGTTCCGAGACGTTTGTCTAACTCGTCGAACCTTCGTGAAACGTCTAATGTCTAACGTCCAACATGGAAATAAAATTAAATACAGCTGACGCAAGAATTCGAATTGTGTTGTTTTTCTTTTTAAGTTAAATGCATGTTATCACTACAGCGTGGTGCACGTTAAAGACCCCTAGCAGTTATACTGCACTGGCTAAGTTGCTCATCTACAGCGAATGACTCGTCGCAACTTTGAAAAGGCTGACCGACTACATGCTGTATAAATATCCACACAACCCCAATTACTATTATTATTGCAAAAACGGCGTCTTTCTTCCCCGGAAGTAACTAAAACCGTTATTGGTTACTCGATCAAAAAGGGACGTTACTCGTTCCTTCCCTCGAGAAGTAACTAAATTGTTACTAAAAAAAGGCTCGAGGTACTCCTAAGCACCTCTTATGAGTTGTGAATGCGAAAGCATGCACGTCATTCTTCCGCTCCCTTATTTCGTCTGCGGCGTATTTGCATCGACGGCAGAGCGAGCCCTCTCCTCGCTGCTCTGGCCTTAGACGCTTCGTACTACCGGCCCGCTGACGGACACGCAGCACCATGGGCTGGTGGTAGTTGAAACTGACGCGCAGCGGCCAATGGGAGCCTTGTTCCTTAAAACTACGACGCGCGCAAGTCAGTGGGACCGAAGCCGAAATCCATCAGCTTCCCTCCGCTTTTTTAGGATCGGGGAAACTAGGTTCCGATGTCTATAGTATGTTGCTGGTTAAGAAGGTAGGGGGAGGGAAAGGAAGGTGGGAGGGGAGGAAGTGGACGCAGCGTTGGCGAGAGGAGGGGGTTTTCTTCTCCCCTCGCCAGCGTTGCGTCTATTTTCTCTTCTGCCACCTTCCTTTCCTTCGCCCTACCTTCTTGAGTCGTTACCGACTATAGGCTATTCGCGTGGTTTCATAGCTGGGAGCTGGCTCCACCTGGAGATAGGATTTAAGGTTCTGTTTGGCGCGGTTTCAAAGCTGAGGACGTCGGCTCGCTCCATGGGACAGTTAATGCTTTCGCATTGAAGAGCAGCTTAATACAAGTAAGGCCCTCCAGTTAACTTACCCATGCGCAGTCCCAGCTGTGCGCAGAGCAGGAGGTCGGCGGCTGCCGCCTGAGCCAGGGCGTCGGGGCCTCGAATCCCTGGGGAGGGTGCGGACCGGACTGGGCCAGGCCGAACATGTCCCCAGCCCGCTCCCGGCCAGCGTCGGGCCGAGGCTGGCCCGGGCTCGCGCCGCTACCTGCCCGGGAGCCTGCGGGCGAGGAGACAACGCAGCGCGCGATGCTAAGAATCAGCGACAAAGGCTGCGCGAGTCGGACTGAGCGTTGAACCAGACAAGTAGCGTATAGGCACCTTGCACACGCGCCAGATTACATCCGCCATTACTGACCTCCTCTTGTCTTACCAAGATACCAAGCCACTGAAGCGGGCTTTGACGAGCCTCCACAAAGACCAATGTTGGAGAGAAGAACACAATTGAACCTAAGATGGCACTAACCTGTCCTGCTGTGGTAATGAGGGGGCGAAGAGATCAAAACAAGAGGAAACAAAAACTAAAGGTCGGTTATGACGGCGCGCAAGCACAGCTGCCGTAAAGCGTCTATAGAAAGTCGATGTTTCCTAAGCTCGGAAAGTTACCATCAGAGATTGAAGTGGCTGCTGACAGTATTCGGCTGGGGCTCATGGTGAGTTAGTGAGGAGTACTCGCTCTTCACCCACCGAGGGTGAAAGCTGGGTACGAACACGAGTGCTGCGGCAGCGATCGACTAGATTCATTGACCGACTGAGTTTATTGGCGCTTTCTAAGGCCATAATGCGTCAAGTACAAGCACGATTGCAAAAGAAGGTTATGGAGAAGAAAGGGATACACAGTGCAAACCACTATATAGCGATAATAAAAGAAACAAGAAAATTTAATCGTTATAAGTGATTATAGTTGTGTCTGGACTATAAAATGAGCGTTTCTAAACTATAAACTCTAGAAACTGATCGTTATAAGCAGTACGTTCTTATATGTGGGATCGTTATAAGTGGGTTGCACTGTATTAGCTAGTGTTGTGGTATAACTATTAAGATTATTTATATTTATGTATAAGTGCATATAGGGTACAAACTAAAATCATAGTAGGTGTAGACGGCCAATATCGTTCAGAAAACTAAAAAATGAGAGGCGCTATCAAGCGGCTCCGGTGCAGCGTCAGACTTGGCTACTGCGCAACGGAGGCGCACAGCTGGGCACGCGGCGGCGCCAGTGCGTCTGCCGCGGCTATGACGCCACTCCTCTGGAATGCGCAGACCGGCGAGGCGGGCGCGGCAGAGCCGTATATGTAGAGAGTTTGGCCATTTGTTGGGAAGTATAGCAGACAAATAAGGAAGCGCCATTGGCCGAAAGCGGGCTGGGCGTGTTCCAGGGCGTCTTCAGAAATTCAAATGTGACCACCCAGAAGCCGGAAATAATACCCTGGCGGTGGTCGCGAGAAACAAACCTGATAAGTGCATCGGAGTAACTCTCGGTGACTGAAAATATAGTACACGTGATGTTTCAATCACGCTCATCCAAAATGATAGTGGAATGAGAGTGCGACTAGCGGAACGATCGACATAATCCTTACGCCAAGCGCCGAGGGCCAGGAATCTGCCGTCCGAGCGGTCACACTCTGTCCGAGCAAAACAGAGTTGAGCGGCGCATTCGTTTCTTACATATTTCTGCATGATTATGATCGAAACTTCACGTGAACTTTATTTTCAACCACGAAGAGTTACTACACTTCACTCTTACGCGCTTACTAAAACCATATACGAACCTTTGATCGGAACTGTTTCTCGCTACCACTGCTAGAGGATCCTTTTCAGCTTCTGGTCGGTCAAGAGAGCATGCTAAGCTCTCTTTCCGAGTCTGGGGCACGCCCTCTCTGCCCGCGCCTCCCATTGACCAAACTCTCTATATACACCAACTCATGTTTACAAACAAACCGGAGCGCCCCTAGCGGACGCCACCGGCGCCGCGCGTGCGTGATGGGGGTGTGGGCAAGAAGCTCGCCGTCGCCCAGAACCAAACCATTGAAATGCGATGTTGTCGGCGTCGGTGTGAGTCCCCCTGCCCTTTTTCGCGTTCGAATTGTTGATTCTACGTCTTCCTGGCGATGTCTGACTATCTTGAGCGGCGTCAGCGAAATTACCGAGGCTCGTTACACCGTAAAACTTCGCGTAAATAATGTGACATGTGGCGATTCATTCCGTGTGGACGCAGCAGTATGTACGCTAAAGCCTGATTCGCATGATGAGATTTCGCTTGCAATTTTCAGTCGCGACGCCGCTCGGGCTGCAAAAGCGTGAACCGTAGCTGAGATGGCCGACGTCGATACTGAAAATCGCAAGCAGAATCGGGCCAAGTGAATTAAGCATAACAGGTCGGTGATGGTCACTGGTAACAATGATCAACGTCTCCTTGTATCTACAGTTTACATCGAGCCTGCTTACCAACCTTTAAATTTAAGTCTTTTGAGGCCTGCACTTACTTCTTATCGCAAATACCCGGCCAGAATTTGGTCTACGGGCCGGCGTCGTCTAAGAGAGCAGACGATAAGCAGAAACGTTTGAAAGAGCACACGACAGTTCGAACGATCAGGCGACCGTTTGAACTTGAAGACGCACTGAGCGTAGTCCGCAGGTGGTCCGCACAACTTGACGGTTTTCCGGCGTTTATATTGGAACAAAGCAAATAAATGTGATGACCACAAGTATCCGTAAATTTAACCCAAAGTGGTTTCCGCCCAAGCAATCGTGTCCGACGGCGTCTGCTTCACCCTTTTCACGGCACATATCCAGACTCTCGGACGAACTGAGTACGTGAAAACTGACCTTCAAACCTTTCTCGACACTTTTGGTACGGCCCCAGTCGCGGCGTTTTGTCAAGAAGGCAGGTTTTTGTCTGGTTCCTTTCAAAACAACGCAGGAATACACGTCTGGCATGGGGACTTCTGCCCACAGCCCCAGACCGGAAGTGCGACCGACGCGCCACCACCGCGCCGTGACGTCACAGAGTTGAGTTCGTGTATACACGGCTCTGGGGCGCGGCGGTGGCGGAGCGCGCGGCGGCGGTTTCGCGTGGCTCTCATAATGAGCCGTGCTTATTATGCGGAGCGCGCTCATTATGCGGAGCTCCGCCGCCACCGCCGCGCGCTCCGCATAATGGACACGGCTCGCACAATGAGCACGGCTCATTATGAGGGCCACGCGAAACTGCTCAACCTCGGCCAGTGTAGCTAACGCTACAAAACACAATTGTGTGGGTCAGTCAGCGGTTCAACAGTCATCACTAAGTAAAGATGCTAAGTGTAAAATAGTTTGTTCAGCGTACATTTGCGAAAAGTGTTTGTACCGTTCCTTGTCTTACGCAAGGCAATCAATTAGAAGGTGTAAGATGCTCAGTGGTTGATTGAAGAGTCTACATTCTAGGACATCCTCCCCGTCCCCGTGCATGAGATGCCCATGCATTAAACACGCATGACCGGTTCGCAGCCAACACAGTACCACTTCATAAACGCGTTCCTCATGCCGGACACTTTCCCATTCGCTTAGCAAAGATTTTACCGCGTGTAATTTGTTGTCCGTTTCATTGGTCCACACTTGTTGCCACTTAGCTCCAATGCAAAACCCCAAAGAAGTGTACTAGTCTTTGTAAGGTACTTGTTGCGTATTCACTGTTCTCACATAAAGGAGCTGTGCAACGATTTTAACGTTGAAAGAATTGGCATTTTCTGCTTTTGATATTGTTCACTGTGTTACAAATGGCAGAAAACACACCTCCTTTCATCGCAATGTTGCGATTCCACCGCGTAATAGCGAGGCAAAACTTGGAATATTTCCCGACCTGCAGCCACGAGCGGCGGCCATGAGAAACAAGCGGCGTGACGTCACTTGGGTCGTTGTAAGAAAGATAGCAAGTTGTGCGAATACCTGCTCGATAAAAGGTAACTTTTTTTATAAATCTTGTCGTTCCAACATATATATAAATGCGTCAAAACCCTGGTATCATCGACAAAACTTTTATTATACGGAGTTTTAGTGGCGCCATCTATCCTAGGTTTACAAAACCGCGAACAGCCGCCAGAAGCCGGAGGAGGAGGGGGACAGCGCCGGACGGGCAAGGACGGGTGGTCACGCGGTCGCGAGCGGATGAGTTCTCGCTGCTCGCTGATGGCTCTAAAGAGAGAACTTTTCCGGAACTCCGCGCCTACTCTAGTGACGTCACTGTGCACGTGACCCGGAAGACGATGCACGAGTTGAGAGGCGGCAAAAACCTGGATCTTTTTCATTTTTTTAAGTAAAAACTAGGGTATCCAGGCAAAATCTGTTTTCTGTAGTTCACTGCAGAAGTGTCAGGCATCAACTTCCACAATTATTTAAGCAAAGCCCTGAAATTGTTGCACAGCTCCTTTAACAGAACTCACGGCACAATCGGCCTCTTCATTTGCTGGGATGCCCGCATGGCCTGAACGCAACAGAAAGTTATGTGAACATTTTTGTTTGAGCAAGCTATCAGCGACTATTATTGCCAATTTATGCCATTAGAGTGTGTATGGATTAGATTGACTTCAACTGACTATTATTGACTATAGGCATCTATTTCTGACCTGGTTTGGTTGACTTGGCTACAAATGCCTACAAGTGATTAGCATTGATAAGTATTACTTATTTCTGTGTCTACAAGGTGTCACAAAAAAATTAGTTTATTTTGTTGTTTTTTTTTACCGCAAGAATAAGCTAGGCATCGCCGAACGCTCATTCTCCGCCCGAAGGTAGCGCTATAGGTCACAACCAGGTGCCAAAGTTTCACCACGATTCGATAACTTATTCAAAAGTTATAAGTCATTTCCTGAAAATTTCAATGGGAACATGAAGCCCATTTTCGCTCGTTTTCGGTTTCTGGTGCCATAGAGCCTCATTTATTCGAAAAGAAAACTCCGTCGGCCGCCATTTTCTGATTGACAATTTCAGAAAAACACTTATAACTTATGAATAAGGTATCGGATCGGGCTGAAACGTTGGCATCTGGTTGTGACCTCTAGCGCTACCTTTGGGCGGAGAATAAGCTTTCCGCGATGCCTAGTTTATTTTTGCGGTAATAAAAACCGTGTAATTTTTTTTTTGTGACACCCTGTACAAACATGAATGGCATCATGTTGCTCTTTTTGGCTATTGGTATCTATTTTTCACCAGATTGGCTTCAAATAGCTATGAATGGCTATT